GAGAGAGAGAGAGAGAGAGAGAGAGAGAGAGAGAGAGAGACACACACACATACTCTTATACCCTCTTATGGACCCCGGATACTCTTATACACCCTTACGAGATCTGTTGATGTAGACCCCGGATACCTCATTGATGTTTCCATGTGTGTTGTGGGCGTAGGAGCACTGGCTTTATTTGTCCTCTTTGTATTGACGTTAAAGGAACCCGAGTTGGCGGTTTCGAATAGACGTCCGTTCATCCAGCGAGCTATTCAATGCCTGGTTGTTGATCAGAACTCATCTTTGCATATTGGAAAAGGTAAAACCGCCAATACCGACCCCCCTCCCGCCGGAACTCGGGGGTGTGTCGACGCGGCAAAATGAAAGGCTCCGCCTTTGGGACCCACCAGAAGGAAGCCCACTATTTAGAGTGCCCCAACTTTGGTGATTTGTGTTTCCATTTCCGTTGATAGAAAATTTCGGCAAAACCCAGGGATGTAGGGCAGGTTCCGCCATATAAGGGGAGGAAAAAGAAGACACGAAGGTCTTTTGTCTCTGGAATTTTTGTTTTTGAGCCAAACCGAATGCATCTGTCGATCAGAGTCTCTGTGACCGGATAGGCCTGACGTTTCAGCCTGGGCAGCCCAAGGAGGCTGGTAGGTTTGTAAATATGGGTTCTGCAGTACGCTGGCGGTTCAGTGGGAAAAAAAAAACAAGACTCAATTTGAACTACCTTCTTCCCCAGAATACAAGGTACGGTCATTATAGCTGTATCTAGACGGAAATAGGCCTCAAATACAGCTATAATGACCGTACGTTGTATTCGGGGGAAGAAGGTAGTGAAGGCAGCAACCAGTGGGACATGCATGACCTCTCCAAGCGAACTCATCCACGAATGATCTGAAAGAGCTTTCGATTTTTAAGTAAGGGCTGAGAATGCAGAATGCATGCGAGTAGGCAAATAGGCAAACTCTCTGATAACGGAATGGTGGCAGTTGTTGTGATGATTTAGGGCCTTTGCCCTATTTCGCAACGCCACTTCCTTCAGTGCTTAGCTTCTTGTCTCTCTCCTTCTGGACCAGACTTTACTATTTTTTTGGTGTAGATTGTGCAGCTGTCTTTTCCACGCCTGTCATGACGAATTTTGCCTCTTCGCTAGTTTCTCCCCCCTATCATTGTCCTGTATTCTCCTCTTTCCTCCCGTCGCCCCCCCCCCCTCTTTTTTGTCATCCTTGAGCAGGGGCCATGCTAATCTTCTCTGTATCGTTCCAATTTAACGCAAGTCCTCGAAGGACAACTTCAGTTTTCTCCTGTCTTGATTGCCTCTGACTTGATTGACTCAGACTTTTTGCCTTGTATCTGATGGCTAGTCCTCTAGCGCTAGAAGATTAGGCACCAGATGCTAATCTTCTAGTGTCTGTGGCTTGCCTATTGTTCTGTAAGTTCATAGCATCCTTGTGATCTGCCCCCCTTTCTTTACTTCATGATGCATGTGTGCTATGTATCTTGTTGCGATGGGCAGTCATTTCGTATCTGGAAAAACCAAACCGTTGGCACGTTCTTACTGTATTGTTGCCTGCCTTCCTCCTGCTTTTGTCCCAAACGCACATGTTCTGTTGTATTACTCCATTTGTTTGCGATATAACGTAGAGCTATCAATAGGTTGATAGGCGTTCGTGTTCCTTCAGGTGAACTTCGGGAGCAGCGCTCAGTGCATTCTCTTTTCCCGAGGAAAGTACTAGCAGTGGGCATGTCGGCTCAAGCAGGAGACGGCAGTATGGATCTTAAGAAGATGACGGTGGCCGAGCTCCGCGCAGAGTTGGAAAGGCGTGGGCTCGAGACCTCTGGACTCAAAAATGCGCTGGTGCACCGCCTTGAAGCGGCGATTGGCAGAGACAGAAAAGGGGCACCATCGGGATCGGGCACCCCTGCGAAAGTGGTAAAGACAGGATCAGGAACACCAGGGAAGAGTGCAGCAGATGTGAAGGCAGCAGCGACGACACCTGCTAAGGCGGGAGGGACGCCAAAGACAGGAGTGTCTACAAAGCCTGCCGAAGCGTCCAAGACGCCAGAGGCAGAGGCTGGGAAAACAGGCGGGGGTGCAAAGCAGGCTGCGGGTGCAAGCGCACAGACAAGCTCCGCAGCGGCTGCCGGTGCACCTGCGGCTGGTGCACTCGCAAAGACAGCTGCTGCTGCGCCCGCACCTGCGAAGGCAGCCACAGCTGCAGCTACAGCTGCAAAGGCAGCGACAGCAGCGGCACCTGGAAAGACAGCTGCAGCTACACCTGCAAAGGCAGTCACAGCTGCAGCTACACCTGCAAAGGCAGTCACAGCTGCAGCGGCACCTGCAAAGACAGCCACAGTTGTACCTGCAAAGGCAGCACCTGCAAAGGCAGCCGCAGGTGCAGCAGCACCTGCAAAGTCAGCCACAGCTGCAGCGGCACCTGCAAAGGCAGCTGCAGGTATATCTGCAAAGGCAACCGCAGTTGCAGCAGCGGCACCTGCAAAGACAGCCACAGGTGTACCTGCAAAGGCAACACCTCCAAAGGCAGCCGCAGCTGCAGCAGCACCTGCAAAACCAGCCACAGCTGCAGCAGCACCTGCAAAGACTGCGACAGATGTAGCGGCATCTGCAAAGACAGCTCCTGCTACCAGTGCGCCCGCAAAGGCAGCCACACCAGCTAGCGCACCGACAAAGACTCCCACAGCTGCAAGCACACCTGCAAAGCCAGCCACAGCAGTGAAGGCGGTCGCTGCTGCGAGAGCAGCCACAACACCTCCCACGGCTGGGAATGCAGCAGCAAAGGGACCCACAAATGCCAGCGCGGCGGGGAAGGTAGCAACAACTGCAAATGCAGTGGCGAAGGCGGCACCGACTACAGGTGCAGCAGTGAAGGTGGTACCGACTGCAAGTATCCTGGCAAAGCCAGCGGTGGCTGCCAAGGGACCTGTGGCAGTGAAGCCTCAGGCCGAGTCAAGCGCATCACTGAAAGCAGGAGAGGATGCAAGGGCAAGTGCGGCTGGAAAGGCAACTGAGGCAAAGGGCACTGCAACACCAAAGAGTACTGCGGCGGTGAAATCTGCTGCGCCTGTTAAGGTGGGTGCTCCACTCAGAGCTTCTGATGAAGGAAAAGCTGCAGAAGCGTCAATGGATGCGGCCTCTGAGCAAGCCACAGCAGGAGGAGGCGCAATGAAGGTAGTTACAGCTGACAAGCCCTTGGAGGTTGCAGGCAAACCAAGTGATGTTGTGACAGGTAGAGAATCCTCCGACGGCGACAAGGGCAAGGCTAGCGCAGCAGCGGAAGCAAGTCGGGCCAGAAAAGAGGAGAGTGGAGAGAGCGCCATGCAGTGTGAGGAAGATGTTGTCATGGTGGACATGGATGAGGTGGTCGTCCTTGACGTGGATGATCAAATACCCATAGAAGAGCATGCTAACAATGACAGCGAGATGAAGGCGGCAGATACGCCAGATGCTGCGAAGCTTGATAATAGCGACACAGCACGCGAAGAGAAACCGGCCCAGCAGGAGAGCTCTGCTGTTATGCAGTCTCCTTCTGAGGATGAGAAAAGGAGACTAAGGGCTGAGAGGTTTGGACTTGCACAGGAGGAAGTCGTAGTAAAGGCCAGCGAAAGTATTGTGAATGCTAATAAGAAGGGCAAGGACAAGAGTAGTAGCGATGGGCCAAGCAAAGAGAAGGCCGGTGAGAAACGAGAAGCAGGAGCTGCGGAGCCGGATGAGGAATCGAAAAAGGGTCAGAAAGCGGCGAAGTTCGTGGATCGAGCGGCAATGTCGACTGCCAAGTTCAAGGCATCAGCTGGGGAGATAGTTGTGGACGAAGTGGAAGCTGCAAAGAGGAAGATGCGCTTAGAGAGGTTTGGCCCAATTGACAACCAGATGTTGGAAGGGCCATTGTCGAGGAAGAGACTACGAGCATGAGGAAATGCGCAGAGGGCATGAATCAGTTCGGAGAGCTATAGAATGACATAGTCGGAGTGCAGGACGGCGGGATCTTTCCTCCATGACTGTGGACACACAGGGCACAGCTTGCAGGCTGCTGGGCTGGGGGACTGTGGATTCGCAAAGGTATCGATATGTATATTGAGGGGCAAGGAGCACCGGAGCAGTGAAGCAAATATGGTTACGTTGGTCGTGTTTTTGGCATTGTGGAGTGAGGAGAGCTCCTTCAATCTAACGGAGGATCGCACAGTGATACTCGCTTGAAAAGTTGAAGTGGCGATGTCGACCTTGTGAATATTTGCAGTGTAAAAAGTGCCCCTACTTCATGGACGTAGGCAAAGCGACAGTTGTCCCGGTTTGCGAACACTTGTACTGACAGTCAGATGGCAAATTGTTTTGCGGTCTGTGCACCCAATGCAGTCTGGTCTGCTGTGTTGGGAAGGGATGCAGGGCTCTGATTTGATCTCGAAAGTGATTGAAACGGCTAGAGTGGGACTACGTAAGTATTTGTCAAGGGGCAAGCATAACTACGGTGCAAGCACTTCTTCTTTTTCCAGAGGGCGGGCATTTGGCCTGAGAGCACTTCTTCTTTTTTGCTGTGTATATGGGTGCTGTGCGGAAACCACATGTCATCCGGAGGGGGAGGAGAAAGGTGGGCTATAGAATAGATGCCGCTGGGAAGGCAGAGAATGTTTTTTGCGCAGCAGTACTCACAGTTGCAAGTGATTACATAGTTGGACGTCTGATGCATGAACCGGTGCCGATAGAGAGAATGTTAGGATGAGAGGAGCTCGAGGAGTCTGTTCCAGTCATAGCCAAACTTTTTCCAGCTGGTACAGGTGGAACGCTGGGCCCTGGACGAATGGTTCACTGCTCCTACCTTAGGGTCTTGGGACTGGTACTGCATGGGGCTTTTGTAGCTATGCCATCCTCCACAGACATTGTAGGAATTGGTTGTTATTATGTTTTCATGTAACTGCTTGAGGGATTTTTTGTTTTTGCTTTTGTTTTTTTCTCTTTTCAAGCTACATACCTCTCTCTCTCTCTCGCTCTCTCTCCTGCAGTGTTGTGCCGGAAGACGTGGAGAGTGCCGTTCACCCTCGGGCTAAAAAGGAAATAGGTGAGTCCACCTCGCTTGCCGAAGTGCACCTACCGTCCCTCCGTTCTCTTTTCCCCATCCTCTTCTTTCCTTGTCCTTTGTCTGTCCCCTCTCTCTTCCCATGTTTCTCCAATGCCCTCTCTCTCTCTCTCTCTCTCTCTCTCTCTCTCTCTCTCTCTCTCTCTCGACGTGCCGTTCACGCTCGGCCAAAAAAGGAAATAGGCGAGTACGCTGCTCGTGCTGGTTGCACCCTCCGTCCCTCCATTCACTTTTCCCCATCCTCTTCTTTCCTTGTCTTCGTCTGTCCCCTCTCTCTTCCCCTGTTTCTCCAATGCCCTCTATCTCTCTTTCTCTCTCTCTCTCTCTCTCTCTCTCTCTCTCTCTCTCTCTCTCTCTCTCTCTCTCTCTCTCT